CACCCACACAGTCACAAACACACACAGACATGAGCACCCACAAACTCACAAACACACACAGACATGAGCACCCACACAGACGCAAACACACGAGCACATACATGCATACCTGTTAAATTAGCCTGCAAACAAATATCAGACATTTGTTTGTTTGTTGTGTTTTCTTTTAGCCAATAAATATCTGGATGATGGTTGTATCATACAGTACAACCTCTATTATTTGAATGCCAAATGTTTATGGGTTTTTGGCAGAGGCCTGCAACTTGCATGTGTAGCACCCCATCAGCACTGCTGCGACTCTGACTAGGATAACTGATTAAAAGCTTGTAATTGAACTATGCCGTTGTCAGGCTAAATGAACATTATCTGTAAAACAACAGAGCTCTCTAAAGGTCAGGGCGGCGGCTGTAAACTAATTATCCATGTCTTGTTATCTATTTTATATAGCCAGATTTGCTTAAAATTCCCATCGTCTTTGATTTGGTTTTCATTGTTTCAAGTTAAAATTGTTATTGGAAGTTCAAAGAGGCTACCCTACTCTCACACAGTAAGGTAACTAAAAACGTCGTGGAAGTTAAGGCCCAACCCACCTGAAGTGGAAGGTAGCAATTGGGTTCATTTAGAAAAAAAAAGCTTGCACAACGCTCAATGAATTAACTGAGCATGAGTGCGCAATATTATATTAATAAATCCTGATTACTATACATTTTGTCGATACGTTGGTCGTTGCTTGTTACACAGCAACTGCATCTTTCCATATTTACACCCACTGTGTTATTACATCGTGTGCCTTCACCCCAATTATAGGTGACTTCCTACCCTGAAGTGACCAGATCAATCCATTAGCTTACATTAGGTCCTTCAAGTTTAACTTTTGCTTTGTTGATGGTTTTGCCGGTTAATATTCACCTATAATCACATTCATCCAACCATTCATCCATCCACGGATGCCATTTGTTAGGTGTGTGTTGAATAACAAACATGTTTCGAAAACACCGATAAAGAAAATCCAGATTCGCCTTTACAATCTAAAAGCAATTATACTACTTAGGTCGTAACTACTTAAGAAGGATCACGTGTTTATAATATATAGTTGTTGCATCTAGTTTAAATGTCAATATGCAACCGAATGCATTTGGCAGTGTATTGAATCTGGGTTAGATTCCAGTACATGCAACTTGAGAAATCCCCGCATTGACGGAAAAAACACGGGCGACACTTTACGTCAGAAGTTACAGTTTATGCCAGTAAACACTTCTTAAGTATATTAAAGACAAATTAACTCTTACCTCTTATATTCCTCAACTCCTGAAGAAATCCGTTAGCTCCAGGGATTTGATGTTTGCTATTAATTTTGTCAACAGTTGTCCATTCCTGCGTATGTAATTTCCTTCCCAAATTAAAAAAACAATCGTTTGCTGATCACACGAGGGTTACCCAATAACAATAACCACTAGCGAACAAGTCTCCGCGAGCTCCGCATCAGATTTTTTTTACACTATTCTCCCCCTTTTCTGCCAAATTATTCACTGACATTTGTTTCTCGAGGGTTAAACTACCCCAGTGGGTGTCAGTTTGCCTGCGTTTTAGTGCAGCAAAAGCTCCGGTAGATGAGTGGGCTTGTGACGCTGATATGCCGCAGTCAGCACTGACTCCACGCTGAGCGGAGTCGCCCAGGCTGCCAGCCACAGAATCGCGAATAGCGCGTTTCCCTTAAAGCCGCAAGGCGCGGACAGTCTAGCCGCAGCGTCTATAGGAGCTGTCCGTGCGCCAGTGCTGAAGCTGCGCAACTTCTCTCTTCGTAATTCTTAGCTTCAGTAATATAGGGAATAACTGCACGTAATTAGGAATGATAATATCTAAAAACAGAATTACAAAATAAGCAGGAGGAAACACCCTTTTTATTGAAATGCAACTGCTGTCCCCCATTGGCGCGGGCCGCGTTTTAGTTTCAGGGGCACTTCGATGTCTTATTTAACGCGACTACACGAAGGTAGCATATACATTTTCGGGGGGGAGGGGGGCAATACATCAGATTCCCTTTTACCACATGAATCTCACCTGTAAGTCTTTCGTAAATGTGTTCATCTAGAGGAAAAGCCTACGACTGTACTGCATAATACTACTACTACTACTACTACTACTACTACTACTACTAATAATAATAATAATAATAATAATAATAATACATTTCCATTTATATAGCGCATTTCACAATCCCAAGGTCGTTTTGAATAAACATTTTCCATTTGTTCCTATTCATTATACCATGAGACGGAAATTTCGGAAAAAGAAAAATTATTTTCGTGTGCCGCTGAGTATTGTTTTGTTTTACATTTACCTTTTGCATAAAACCTGCAAGTCTTGAGTTGGGATGTAGTCCGTTTGTTAAAGTAAAAAATGAGCTATAGTAAATCACATTGTATAATAATGTTCTATGTATATTTTATCAACACACACCGCTCGTACATTATTACAGTTTGAATTAAGTTCAAGGTGACATTTGAAGAAAAAAAATGAAGTACAACAAATACAGAAGAATATGATATCAACTTATTTTTCCATCTAATAAAGACCTTAGGGGCCTTACCTTGTACCTTTGAAAATATTAACAATATATGTCCCTCCTTTACTTCCGATAGCTTAATTTGCATATTAATTATTCTTAATGACCATTTTGCACTGCTTTATTTTGTTTTAATTAGAGATGTTCACAAGCTAGTCACAATATCCTTCTTGGTTTATGCTGTACTTCAATGCTTTTAGAGCTGATTTTAAATTTTTAAATGAGCTTTAGACTTTATCATTAACGTTAGACTCTATGCATGGGTTTTTATATTGCTCTTTGGGAGTATGGATATATTTCTTCACCAATGGACCATCTATGAAAGAGTTCCTGTTCTTTAATTGGTTATGCCCAGTGTGGTGGGTTCTGAGTGGTGGAAGGTTTCAGGAGGGAGTTTCATTACAAAGGCAAGCAGTCGTAATGCCCTGAGAAATGGTGTAAGAGCACGTCAAGGGAAAGATGCCAGTTCCAGGGCTCAGAGAGTCAGAGAAGACAGGGATGTGACCTCTGGTTCTGAGTAATATGCCTGACAGAATACTCGCCATTTGATAGTGGATATAGTTCTTCATGAAACTAATTTAAGGGGTCTAATCTAGATAAAATGCACAGGAAGGCCTCATGAACTCACAGAGTTGCAGAGAGGAAGTGGCAGAATATGCAGAGGTTAGGAAAAAGTCAATGCATGTGAAAGTGTTTTTTAATTTATAAATATCCATCCATCTTATGTAACTGTTTATTGCATTCAGGGTCATGGGGGTGTGGAGGCTACAGGGACAACCCAGGATGAGGTAGCAACCAATCACAGGGCACACAGAGATACACCATTCGGTAACTCCAATTAATGTCAGCATGTCTTTGGGGGGGGAACCAGAGTACCCAGAGAAAACCCCATAACGACACAGGGAGAACAAACTCCACACACATGGAGCCAGTCTGCAGGTCATTTACAACATTATCCAGGTAATAAATGCGGAGGTTAAAATGGCGATGCCGTGTGCCAAAAACAACGTTACTTTCACCTTCCGTGACGACTTCAACAAGGATACAAAGTCTGCAACAAATCTGTATAATAAGTCATTAGTGAATGCCAGAGAGCCACATGAGTGAACATGAGAAACTAAAAGAAAATGTGTAATGAAAATAAAATGTAAATGACAAGTGGTTATTTTAGATTTCTTGTAGACCTGTCTTAAAATGTAAGGGATACTGGAGCTTGGTTGGGGTGGTGGGGTGGCTCGCGGTGGGTGCTGGGAAATTTCCCTTATTTTCAAATCCAAAACTTGACAGGTATGGTTAAGGTTAAGGCTGGGTTGTCATTGCTAGGATTAGGGTTTTTCCCATAGAGACCCTACAATGATATAGGTACCTAATCTTTCTGTATATGTGTGTTTGTGTGTGAATTTGTGTGTGGGGGTGCCTGGCTGTATGTATACACTTTTACAAAACATTGTAGGGACATGTTGGGGGAAAAATGTTTCCATAACGTTAGTAAACCCTGGTACATCGATAAAAATAACCTGATTTTCACAATAAACTTTTGGCTTGTTAATTTTCTTGTATTTTCTAAATTGTTTGTAGTCATGTTTGTGTGTGTGTGGGGGGGGGTGTAAATTTGTATTCTGTTGGCCTCTAAAAGCTTGATAAGATCAGACAGGCTCTCACTTGATCGGTGTTTTCAGTTTTATTCATATGAATGTTGGTTTTCCAGGCTCAAGCTGAAGCTCCTTGTTCACCTGTCTCTCCCTCTTTGATTCTCCCTTCTTTTCTAGCAGAGTCCCCATATGGCTCAGCTGCTGAAGTGAGCCAGCTGTCCCACAGTAGTGAGAAAATTACCCTTCAATTTGAAATTCATATATATGAATTCAGTCAAAAATGTTACTGGCTTCCTGTTTTCTTCCGCCCTGGGGCCAAAAAAATTAGGACCATGTTTGTATTCTCTATGGATATGTTCTGCGGTACTTTTATACATTTACCATTTTACTTAAAATCTCAGGTGATCTCCAAAACATAGTTTTCCCTGCCCACTTGAGAACCAAACATCTGCAGAGGTACCTGAAAGTAATTGAAATGTTGTCTCTGGAGACAACCTGATGGAAATATTAATTACCTGATTTCTGCTAGGCTATGTATGAAACTATGCCAAACTTTGTTAAGTGGGCCTGGGTGAGAGTGTGGAATTATGGGAACCTGCCATTCATGGTTCCTGGTGCTTGTGAGCTGCAGCAATTCCCAGTGGGACCATGGTAAGTGAAAAAATAAGTGTCTCACTGGGTTCTCTGCCCCGGAATTCCTAGAAACTGTTTTCCATGTAATACATTACTTACTTTAATATGAATTTATTCTTATGTCCTGAAATCATCCAGTTTTGCTTACATACAACAATGCTGAGACATTAATCTTTGGATTAAGTGGCGTAAATGGTACAAATGCTTCTGCTTCTTTTTCCTTAAAATGCAAATCTGTGAGAGCCTTTTCATATTTATACAGCATTTATATCTCAGCTTGGCAAATGAAGATCAATATTAGCTTCCATCTGTCATAAAGGTCATTTAATCCAGTTTAGTTTCTGACATAGAAACTGAGGTCACCTGTATGAAGGAACTTGAGAGCATGGGTTGGGTTGGGATGGGTGACATAGCTGCAGAATCTGAGATAGATTGTGGTTGAGCCTCCCTGTTCTTCGGGAATCATTCAGGAGGTAATAATCCTGCTCAGATGGCTTTTGCAAGGTTCTGGCCTTGTTGGAGTCAGGCGGGTTGATCCTGCACCTGGAGCTTCTGGCTGGTGTTCTAGGTGATCCTGGCCGGCCACAGTGCCTCACTAAGCCAGTAACCTGAGATAGGAGTGGGGGTCCCTCATAGAGCCACCAGATAAGAGGGAGTGTAAGGACACAGAGAGCCGGCAGACAGAGCTGCGTCACTGAATATAATCAACTGAGCTGATGATTGTATATGTTGTTTGTCTTTGTACGTTTTGTGCGTTTCTCTTCTGTATAATGGGAGTCTTAATGACAAGGAACCATACTGGGCAGACTGACTTAGAAGGCAGACACAGACACTGTAGACTGCCTGGTGTGAGACACGGGGGGCTGTGGAGGGACAGAAGGTGCAGAAAACATGTGGAAGTCAGTGAACTTTATTCCTCAGCCTTGGGTGTGACTGAAAAGGACATAGAGCCTTCAGGACAGAGAGGAAAGCTCTGTACACCCGAGCAGCGGCCAGCGGTATGGATGAGTACAAACAGGGACAATACTGCATTTATGCTACCCTGTCCTGAAAGTTTAGCCTGTTGTGGGAAAATGATTGTGACTAGGGTAGGAGAATGGGGGGGGGGGGGGGGCAGCAAGGTGCAGCATGAATGGTCTTTAATTAAAAAAGCAACAGCAGTGAGAAACACAAAGCTCACGTGGAGCTCCTCAGACAGCAGTGTGGAGCATCTGCTCTCCCAGTACTCTCCCTGCTTCTGACCAGTCAGTCCAGAGTGAGCAGAGCCAGCTGGTCCTCATTAATGGCTGTCTGCTTTCGGCCAGCCCTTTGCTGTTTCACGATATCACTGTCTTGGTTATTCCGTGTAAATATTGCACATATAAATATTTCGGGCACATGCATGCACAAACACATTCACTCAATAATGTATATTTGTTAGTTGTTGCATCTTTAGAGTCAGTCTTCTGAAGTAACTATCTTTAGTAGACCAGTTTTATCTCTTAGCCAAAAAGTTTTTTTCAGCAGCTCTTGGAAACATTTCAAATGATTTCAGTGATATTAAATACTGAATCCCAACTACAAAAACAAACAGAAGTACTGCATCAGTGCGGTGGCCAATAGGTGGTGCTGTTGCCTGACCCCTCTATGGTTCAGGGTTTGAATTCCGCCCCCACTACATGTGAGTGAAGTTTGAATGTTTTCCAAGTTTCCTCTCGCAGTCCAAAGACATGCTGCTATTTTAGTGCATGAGTGTATGTGCGCTGTGATCGACTGCAGTCCTGACCATGGTGTACCTCAGCCTTGTGTTATATGCTGCCTATCTCTGTTACTCTTTCTAGGATAAGAGGATGGAAGATGGATCTTTTGAGTGTTTTTTAAGAGAGAGTGCAATGTAGCCACATCCCCTCTAGAGGGAGCTCAGCTGTAACTTTTAAGTGATGTAACATCTGGCTGCTCTGAAAGCATCAGTAAGATTGACAATGG